ACGCAGGCCTCTCACTGTTGTGGCCTCTCCCGTTGCGGAGCACAGGCTCCGGACGCGCAGGCTCAGCGGCCATGGCTTACGGGCCTAGCCGCTCCGCAGCATGTGGGATCTTCCTGGACCGGGGCATGAACCCGTGTTCCCTGCATCGGCAGGTGGACTCTCAACAACTGCACCACCAGGGAAGCCCTACATGATATTTTTAGTTATGTATTTATAGTATGTGTGACCTTACTAGAATGTAGACGCCTTAAACCAGGGATGTTGTTTTGTTCACTGCTGTATCCTCAGTACCTAGAGTATTACTTGAGCTCATAGCTGCTCAATAAATATTTGTTGAAATGAATGAGTGAATGAATAATAGAACTATATCCAGGACCAAGTAATCTGCTCATTCTTCTTCTTTCCTACTACAAGTGTTAGCTTTGGCTGTCTTTAGCAGTGTTTATATAACATTCCCTCCCTTTTCTTGTGTTCACATTTTTATCCCCAATGAAACAAATAGCAGATGCTGATCGGAACTTGTGTGACTTTGCTTTCTAAAGTGATATCATGCTTCTAACAATTCCATACATTTTAAAATTAAACATATGCTGTCTCCTGCTGGATGGTGATAGAATAGTTTCTGCTGTCACTACCAGGCCCCAGGATCATATTTCCCAAGGAAGTGTTCTTCTCAAGCATCTCTGTTGCTTCTTTCCGGACACTGTATAAAAACATCTACAGAGGTGAGATAAAAAACAGAATTTTTTTTTAACTGATGAAGATCATTACTTGAAAAAATGCTACTAAAATAACTCCTACAGCTACAGTTATTAAGTTTTCTTAAAATTTCCAGCTTTATTATTACAGTTAATGTGATATAATTATAATTACTATTATTACAAGCCTGTGCCACTATGAGTATGCTTATACTTAAGGCCCTCCTTCCCTCATTCCTCCAAAGCCTTTCTTTTTAAACAGTGAAGACCTGAAAAGTTATCTACTGATCAGTATATATTTACCATTACCACTTGAAAATCTAAGACAAGAATTTACAATATATCCCAGTCTCAGTTTATAATAGGCTCTTGGATAAATAATATTTGTTGGTGGTTTCTTTTCAGGGATTATATATATATATATATATATATATGTATATATATATATGTATATATATATACACACACACACACACATACATATATATGTATATATATATGCTTCCCTTGTATGATCTCTGTTTTAAATAACATATTTAAGGGTATGTCTAAATTCACTCCTTTTGGTATAATATGGCTTTCTAATGGCATTGGTGGCACTTTTATGTGTAAAATTTTTTAAAAAAGCACTTCTCATTTTTTTTGCACTTCTTATTTTATTTATTATTATTATTTTTTTTTTTTGTGGTACGCGGGCCTCTCACTGTTGTGGCCTCTCCCGTTGCAGGCTCAGCGGCCATGGCTCACGGGCCCAGCCGCTCCGCGGCATGTGGGATCTTCCTGGACTGGGGCACGAACCCGTGTCCCCTGCATCAGCAGGCGGACTCCCAACCACTGCGCCACCAGGGAAACCCCTGCACTTCTTATTTTATAGTAAATATTATAGTCAATGAAAAGTCTATTTTTTCAGCAGAAAAGAATTTAGCAGTATATACAGTACACCAAGATGTTGAAAGAGAATATCTCTGAGTGGTGGGACAAGGAATAATTTTAATTTTCTTTTATTTATCTAATAAATATGCATTACTTCTTTATCGAGAAAAAAAAGAAAAAGAAAAAGCAGTCTAGGTGCCTTTTAACCTATCAGTCCATCAGTTGTCCCTGGTTTCAGCTGAGTGATGGCTAGCAGGTTTCATTGATTATAGTACAGAGAGAATACACATCAGAACCTGATGTCAAAGATGGTACCAGGACAAGTTTCATTGACAAGAAGATGAAGATTCCAGGGTTCACAGTCTTAGTCACATTTTTCAACAATATAAGAGTTAAAAAACAAATGTAGGCTGTTGCTGACTTCAGGATGTTCTGTGCCTCTTTATTTCCAACAACACCTTACCACTTTACACATGTCTTCCTCAAAGTATGAGCCCAAGACTAATCACTGATTGATCAATTGAATAAAGCATTCAGGTATTTTAAATCTTTGGTATAATTTCCTGGTAGAAACTCAATCAGTCATAGAGTTGCATGGTGAAAAAACCTCTTTCCTTCCTTCTACATAGCAGTTTTATTTAGGTTTGTTCTTTGGAAAAAAATCTATTTAGTCTAAAGGTGTTGGTGGAGGGAGATTTCCTGTGTGGTAAGAAGCTTGGTTCAAATCTGCATTTTGCATTTTGTGATATGACATAGAGGAAATGTGACATGTACTCATAGATATACTGTATATCCACAAGACAGCTTATTGTCCCTGGTTTAACGAGTCCAGTGGCTAACTCTCCTTGATAATTAGAAATTAATTTTAACAATCTAATAAGTAAACTGAAGTTCTTGGTGCACTTACGCTGGCATAGGGTTCAATACATCCACATAATCTTCAATTGGTTCCTTCCCTTTTTCCGGAAATGAACTTGGTGTCCGCTCTGTCTCAATTCTCCTTTTCTTTTCTCTAAGACTTCATGAAGTCTAATTACTTGCCCAGGAAGGAGTGACACATGTAGGGGAACTGACAGCTGAAACCAGTTAAAGCCGTAGGCAAACAAGAAAGACAGCAGAGTAACTGGTTTTAGCAAAGATGAGCCTGTTCTGGTCCTAAGGAGCTTCTGTTGCTTGACAGAGATGGATGGATAGTATCATGAATAGAGGATCTTGGTGTTTTAGAACTGCCTCTAAACCAGCTAGAACCTGCACAGGGCGCCTGACGAGAAAGACACATTCCTTTTGATCTGGCCCAAAGCTAAGTATACTCACCTGGCACCACAAGCTGATTCAAGTAACATCAAACCTCTCATTTTTTATTCTGAGCTCGCTGGATCTCACTGCCAGGGAAGTCCTGGAGCCCCTGCAAGTTGCCCAGCTGTCCCACAGATAGCCTGGAATAAGCTCCACCAACCATATGGCAACATGGGGTCAAGATGGAACTGTTCTTTAAATGACTGAGAATCAGCAATGAGAGGTCTATATTTTCGTGTGTTTGTGTTTGTATTTTGAATTTTCACTCACACATTAGGATTATGATACTGCTCTATTAAATTTTTAAAAAATCTTTTCTAGAAATGTGTTTGGATTGAGTCACCTATATTCTCCTGATCTATATTCATACCCCTAATTTAGACTTCATTAAGACCAGCTATGTACTCTTAGAAGTTATAATCTAAATGGTAGAATATTTTTCTTCATGTGACACAACCTAGCCTATATTTTGAGGCAGCTGTGTCTGAATATCATCTTGATCTCCAGAGTGGGGTGCACACTTTCCAGGGGGTGTACAAGAAAGTCCTTTGGAGTCTGGGAAGAAAACACTAGAACTTCATTTTCTATTTGCACATTATCTTATTAATTCCTATTATTGTTTATATTTTATCACATGTGTGTATATATATGAAATTTGAGACTATCCTTCTGCATAACTAACTAATAATCAGTAAGTGTATTTCCCTTATATAACAATCCTGAAAAAAAAATAGAATGAGGAAAAACTAATGAAGCAGCTGTTCCTTATTAGTTACCTATTATGTCCCAAGCATTATGCTATTGCAAATCCTCACAGCAATGCTACAAGATAGGTATTGTTATCCCTACTTTACAAATTTAAAAAACAGCCTCAGAAAGATTAAATAACTAGTCCAGAGTCACATAGCTAGAAAGTTGTGGAACCAGGACTCAAACTCCAGTTTAATTAATTCAAAAGCAATGTCTCTGCACTTTGAACTATAGTCTGTTTCTCAAACTTCTACGAAAGTTGCCCTAACAGCAGCATGGTATAAATGTATATACAGAGTGATCTGGGAACATAGTAAAAGACAATATTTATAGAGCACAACATTAGAGACAAATTGTTATCTTTTGATAATTCACATGAATTTTATTTTAATTCTGTACCATATCTATGTACATTATAATTTATTTATTTATTTATTTATTTATTTTTTTTTTGCAGTACGCGGGCCTCTCACTGTTGTGGCCTCTCCCGTTGCGGAGCACAGGCTCCGGACGCGCAGGCTCAGCGGCCACGGCTCACGGGCCCAGCCGCTCCGCGGCACATGGGATCTTCCCAGACCGGGGCACGAATCCGTGTCCCCTGCATCGGCAGGCGGACTCTCAACCACTGCGCCACCAGGGAAGCCCTGTACATTATAATTTAAAAAATAATGCTTTTTATCCTTACCTCAAGGAAAAAACTAAGAACAAATCTTTTTGGCCAAAATGTCAAGTATAATTAGTGTTCTAGGAAGATGCACCCCAAGTTTTTTCCGGTGGTTTTAGTGTATTCCTTGACACCTAATCACATACACTTGGTATATCTGTATCCCAGTGTAAGAAGTGCCAGGCCAAACACACAATGGTGCCTTTCCACAACAGAGGGAGGGAATGTGTTTCTCCCTCCCCTTAAGTCAATATGCCTTTCACATATCTAACGGGCCCACTCTTCTACCTTCCTATGACTTTCCTACATGGTAGTTGACCCTCAAACTTTTACTTGTTTTTGGCTGAGAGAAAGAACCAGCATCCATCATCTTGGTAAAGTGCAGTCCTTATTTCATGTGAATGCAAGGTCTTTACTTAGAAACTAGCTTTGGATAAAGTCTGTATTTAACTGACCCTAACAAACATTGGAAGTTTTCATGTCCTCTAAGAGTATTAGAAAACATGGTGCTCCTTAGGGAGCTGGTTAGTTATCAAAGTACTTCATGTTTATTAGACAGTTGCTACAATAGTTTTATTTAAAATAATGGTAGTTATTTAAAATAATGGTAGTTAACAAAAACAAAAAATAATGTCCTTCCTACCTCTGTTATTGTGAGAATGAAGCCTCTCCATTCTTCCCCACTTTCTGTGCTAAGGATGTAGACAAAAACAGATAAAGACAAAAAAAAGAAAAGACGTGAATGACTATGAACATTAATACTTTTATTAACTTCAAATAACTTTAGAATTTCATATGATTGTTTTATAAGTCTCGAAATAGTGTAAGCCATCAAAACCCGGCAAGATGGACAAAATGCATATTCTTCTATTGAAGCACATTGTTTTAAAAAGTCAATTGTATTTTTAAACCACTTACAATCAGTTAAAAGGAAGAAATAATTCATTTTTCTTTGTGCTTAGAATTATTCATGTGCATTTGTTATGAAATATTTCAATAATATTTTCTTTTGTAGGAAGTACATAGCTTTAATCTGTTTGCTTATTAAGTAAAATTTTACATATTAGCTCGAAAAAATTTAAATGTTAGCACACTTATTTCTTTAGTATGTCAATTCATGGTTACTCGCCCCATTGGTATTTTTTTTTTTTTGCGGTACGCGGGCCTCTCACCGTTGTGGCCTTTCCCTTTGCGGAGCACAGGCTCTGGACGCGCAGGCTCAGCAGCCATGGCTCGCGGGGCCCAGCCGCTCCGCGGCATGTGGGATCCTCCCGGACCGGGCACAAACCCGTCCTGCAACGGCAGGGGGACTCTCAACCACTGCGCCACCAGGGAAGCCCCCCCACCCCCGCATTGCTATTTAACACTAACTGGCTTTAAGTTTGAGGCAACCAGGTAGGACCAATGTAGTTACTTCCCATTACCTTAGTAGTTAGTAAATTACCTTGAAAACGTCCAATTCTTAGCTCTAAATATTACTAATACAGCCAACATTTATTAAGTGCTTACAAGTGGCACTGTTCTAAGCGCTTCACATATATTAGCTGATTTAATCATGACAATTTTGCAAAAAGTACTCTTTTTAAAATTTCATTTTATAGATTTATTCATTTAGCAGATACTCACTGAGTGTATTTAAGTTCTGGGCACTATTCTATGTACCGGTTTACATCAGAGAATAAAACAAAAATACTTATTCTCATAGGGTTTAGGGTCTAGCAAGGGGCAATAAATAATAAACATAATAGTGAGTAAATGTTATAGTGTCAGATGGAAATAAATGAGAAAATGTAGAGAAGGGTTAATAGAGATTGGAAATGCCATTAAGGGTTTGGGGAGGGGAAAAGAGTTGCAATTTTAATAAAGTGGTCTAGGTAGGCCTCAGTAAGAGGGTTACATCAGAGTAAAGACTTATGGGTGAAGAAACCAAGGCAATAAAGAGGGTAAGTAAGTTGTCTACAATTACACACTAACAAATAAAACAGCTAGAGTTCAAATCTAGGCATTTGATTCCAATCCTGTGCTCTAAATCACATCAGAATCATCCAGGGAGCTTGCTTAAAATGCAGATTCAGAGGCCCAGGTTTGGGGATGTGGCCTTATATTTCCTACATACAAGTGATTCCTGGTACACTAAAGCTTTATGACCACTGCTTTCAAGGTTAAATCCAACTACATCTTATTCAGTTGCAAGTTATTCCCTTTATGTTGTAGTCGTTGGTTGACTTTCCTTGGCTCACTTTCAATGCCAATTCAAGAAAAAAATCTTTTCCTATATAGGTGCTGGGTATATAGTGGTGAGTTTAACAAACAGATCTCTGCCTGTGTGGAATTTAGCGTTTTTTGAGATCATGCTTTCACTGCTGAGGGCACGCGTTCAATCCCTGGTCAGGGAACTAGGATCCGGTAAGTCACGTGGCATGGCCAAAAAATAAAAAAATAAAAATAAATAAAAATAAATAAACCAAATTAATGGAAAACCAGTTCAACAGCCACTGTAAGTTGCTTTGGTTTGTCAATTTGCAAGTCAATTAATCCTTAATACACCAATGTTCAAATTATGTCTCCCCCCAGCCCCAAACCTACAAAATGGCAAAAATCCTGC